TGGAACAAGTGAAAATACAAAGCATTATATTTTTCAACCTTTAAAGTAGGTACATTTTAACTCAATCCAACATTTTTTTTTCTTATTTTCAATTAATGGTGCCTCATAAATGGTTGTAGAAAGTTGTGATAACGACGAGAAACGGTCAATAAAATTGCCCAAAAACCCATCTTCTGGATGCTTATAAAACTCGTCAAGTAAACAAAATTATGATGTCGACATAGTAAGAGAATTTAATCAATGGTCCTTAAACTTTGTTATAAATTACTACTTACTCATCGATCTTTAAAAAGTTACTCGTTGCTCACTGAACTTTGCTATGGATTACTATTTGCTCGTCAAAATTTAAAATGTTGTTTTTTGCCCATCTAAATTTGAACAAAGTTACTCATTGCTCGCGGAACTTTGCTATATGAGTGATTAATGGGTAACGTTGTTCAAATTTTGGATGAGCAATGAGTAACTTTTTAATTTTTTTTGTTAACCAATAGTAATTTATCGTAAAGTTCAGTCAGCAAATAGTAATTTTTAAAAATTCGATTAGAAAGTAGTAACTTATAACAAAGTTTAGTCATCATTAATTAAATTAACTCTCAACATGGTTGAATAGTGGAATACAAAACAAAAAAGTTGTAATTGGAAAAAATTGAAACGACAAAGTAAATGTCTTGAGATGTCAAAAGTTTCACCTCAACTCGAAATTAGCTATCTAGCTTAAAAATTTTAAGTGGTGAAGAAAATTTCTGACGTGAATCATGCTCGATGTTGGTGAAAATTTGATCAATGATGTTTTAGGTCAAGGAGTAAATATATAATATATAAGGAATAAGTTCCAACTCCAATTTAATTAATTGCCAATATGAAATTTATATGTTAGGGTCATGAATCATTGACATTTATCCACGAGTAGAGTCCGTTTGATTTTACTTTTGGTTTAATTTCCTGTAAGTTTGCCAAGGAAAAGTCAGGTTGACAATTCCTAACCCTTGATCAACCGTGTTTGGAGATATTAGATGTTTTATATCCCCAAAACTCAAACTTTAACCAAAAATCTTAGGCGGACTAATTTCCTCTGCTCACATGGTTGGTGAAGATGATATCTCGATATACGTTAAGCCCCTGTTTGGGCCACATTATTTTTTTCATTCTTCTATTCATTTTCAACCACACATTATTCAATAAAATAATATTTTCCAATCAGATGATTAATTTTTCCTTCTTGTTCAATCACATATTCTCCATCACATCACTTCAAAAAAATGCATTTTCTCATTTTATTGTATACCAAACGGGCTCTAAATTTCTGTTAGATTTTAATATCTACGTATGAGTTAGATGTTAATTTCACTTACGGGGTCAAGAAGAGTGACTAAATTTATAATTAAATTGAAGTTCAATAATTTGATTCTAACGAATTGAAGGTGTGTGATCCAATTGAAATTTTCGTGAGAGTTGGGTGACAAAAATAAAAGTAACCCGTTTATTATCAAATTTAAATTTTAACTTTTTTATTTTTGTTGTAGCTTGGCTTTCGATGGATAGAAATCTAATTTTAGTGGCACACTGATGCAACCAAAGCTTAAAGATAGAAGAAGAATACGTGATCAAACAAATTGTCAATTCTTTTATTATATGCCTAGCAAGATTTTTATTAATATAAATGTTTATAAATGAATGGTAGATATATGAATTAATAAACACTTAGCTCATTACGATAATATCCACACTGGTGTTACAAGTCATTTAATTTCACATTTTATTTAACCTATCATTTAGAGCCACCTAAATTGTGTTTGTAACCCTACTGAGAATAAATAACATTACTCTAAAAATAATGATCCAAACATAAACTTATATTTCGATTGATTGGAGAAAATTTACCGTGTTGCAATTTGAATCAAATGGAGCCAAGAATCCTCCATGGCCGACAAATCCTAATTGCTCTAGGTCCCTAGATTCTTACAAGAATTTTAAAAACACCCATTTGTAAATAATATATGAAAATGACGAAAAAGGACGTAATGTTGAAAAATGATAGAATAAAGCCCCACCCTTATTTCATGTTCACGACATCAATATCCCTTCTTCAATCATACATGAATTTGTATTTGATGGATATTTCCATCAATCTTATAGTGTTGTTATTCAAAATAAATAAATTGACGAAATAAAAAGCATACTAACCTTTAATCATAACACCATCACTTGTTACCACTTACCACCGCCTCAGGCCTCCATTGTAGTTTACGCTCCCCACTTCCACGGACATAGTTGTCTATGCCTTCCCACTATGCTCCCATCCCTAAACGACCTCCATTTGGTAGACCCCGAATTATAATTCTAAAAATTATTTTGAGATCGACTTTTTTTATCTTTTAATTAACCTATTATTTTTCGTATTTTTCTTTTCAACTCGTTCTAAAGCGAAATTAGTACAAATTAACAAAATGAATTCAAAGAATATGAGTTGCGATATATTCTTTGGGATTTTGATGAATTTTAAATCAAAGCTTCAAATTCTCCGAATTGATTTTGTTAATTTGTATCAATTTCGCTTTAAAACTAAAAGTTAAGAGATCGAAATATAAAAAAATAGAATCAATAAAGACTTCTCTTATGCCGTTAAAATAGTGCTTTGACTTTTCGAACTCATTAGCTGCAACGTTGCGTAATCTTGGAACAGACTTTTGCAATTTCACATTCAAGCAGTTTGATTTGTTTTACTTTTATTCCTGGGAACGAAGTCACTGTCACTCTGATTTTTTCTGGACATACCCCATTTTTCCGTGTTTTTTGAGTATATTTGTGAATCGAGTAATGCTATTCATCCACACTGGGGTTACAAGTCATTTAATTTCACATTTCATTTAACCTATCATTTAAAGCCACCTAGATTGTGTTTGTAACCCCACTGAGAATAAATAACATTACTCTAAAAATAATGAGCCAAACATAAACTTATATGTCGATTCATTGGAGAAAATTTACTGTGTAGCAATTTCATTCAAATAGAGCCAAGAATCCTCCATGGCCGACAAATCCTAATTGCTTTAGGTCCCTAGATTCTTACAAGAATTTTAAAAACACCCATTTGTAAATAATATATGAAAATGACGAAAAAGGACGTAATGTTGAAAAATGATAGAATAAAGCCCCACCCTTATTTCATGTTCACGACATCCATATCCCTTCTTCAATCATACATGAATTTGTATTTGATGGATATTTCCATCAATCTTATTGTGTTGTTATTCAAAATAAATAAATTGACGAAATAAAAAGCATACTAAGAGCTTGTTTGGTAGAGATTTTTTGAGGGAAGAATTGATTTTGAATAGTGATATAATGGAAAATGTGTGATTGAAAAGAAAGAAAAAATTATTGATGTGATGGAAAATATTATTTTATTGAAAAATGTGTGATTGAAAATAAAAATTGATTTACTGTAGAAAATGAGAATCCCTACCAAACAGGCCCTAAATTAAAAAATGGAAAATTTGCATAGAAAGTGCCAAACCTTTCAAAAATGAGCAACTAACCTTTAATGAATGTGCCAAAATGTGAGATTGAAAAGAAAGAAAAAATTATTGATGTGATGGAAAATATTATTTTATTGAAAAATGTGTGATTGAAAATAAAAATTGATTTACTGTAGAAAATGAGAATCCCTACCAAACAGGCCCTAACCTTTAATCACAACACCATCACTTGTTACCACCACCTCAGGCCTCCATTGTAGTTTACGCTCCCCACTTCCACGGACATAGTTGTATATGCCTTCCCACTATGCTCCCATCCCTAAACGACCTCCATTTGGTAGACCCCGAATTATAATCCTAAAAATTATTTTGAGATCGACTTTTTTTATCTTTTAATTAACCTATTCTTTTTCGTACTTTTCTTTTCAACTCGTTTTAAAGCGAAATTGATGCAAATTAACAAAATGAATTCAAAGAATATGAAGCTTTGATTTAAAATTCATCAAATTGATTTTGTTAATTTGTATCAATTTCGCTTTAAAACTAAAAGTTTAGAGATCGAAATATAAAAAAATAGAATCAATAAAGACTTCTCTTATGCCGTTAAAATAGTGCTTTGACTTTTTGCGTAATCTTGGAACAGACTTTTACAATTTCACATTCAAGCAGTTTGATTAGTTTTACATTTATTCCTGGAACGAAGTCACTGTCCCTCTGATTTTTTTGGACATACCCCCATTTTTCCGTGTTTTTTGAGTGTTCAAGAGTTGAACGCAGCGTCATTTTCTTTTATTGTGTGCGCATAAGAGATTGGTTGCTACCTCCAAATTTGCTGATGACCTCCAAATGTGCTGATGATAGATAGTGCTGTGTGGAAAAAAGAAAGAGGCACAAAAGGGGCCGTTGGAATTATTCACACCTGCAGTTTATTCTTTGGGATTTTGATGATATGATTGCCTTCGCTTTTGGATTATGCATCAACACTTCGTAACTGATGTCAGGATTTTTCTATTTTGGCTAAATCGTTAGTTTTTACTGGTTACCAGTTAATTGGGCGATTTTGATCGTGGGTTTTCATGGAAACATTGTTTTGATTATCTGGGTTTTGCTTATAGTCGTGTTTAAATTGGAGCTGGTGTATTCAATTATCCGTTTACTGGAGTTCACTAGGGTACAGGGAATTGGGATTTGCATTATACTGGAAATTGATTATTGGATTCTGTTCAATATTTGGTTTTTCGCGGTAACTTCTGTCTCCAATTCGTTTGAAGAGTATATCTTTTGCAGATTTCTGATATATCACTGTTCTTATTACTTGATCTTGGTAGGTTATTCATGGATAAATTTGGATGAACTGTATGCGGTGAATTTTTTGTTACTTTGGAATGCAATTAATAATATTCTAAAGACAGATTTTATTGAGTACATATGCGGTGGAGTTCATGAAGTATTATTGAAATCTATAGGTTGTTAATGCTATGGTTGAAATGGCAAAATTTGATTAATTTGGATGCTGATGAAATGGCATCTACATCTCCATCTCCATCTCCACCCCCAAATTCTCCACCTTCTGCTGTTCCACCAGCTTCCTCCAATTCTCCACCACCTTTGCCTTCCCCTCCGCGTTCTACCCCACCAGAGCCACCAAATGCTCCACCACCTCAGGTCAATTCTCCTCCACCCACCATTACTCTGGCACCTCAATCCTCCCCCCCAACCAATGTTGCACCACCTCCTCCAGCCTTGACCCCACCTCCTGTGGCTTCCCCACCTCCTACTACATCTCCTCCTCCTCAGCCTACACCCTCTCCAACACCCTCTCCACCGCCAGCCAATACACCGTCTACATCTTCACGTCCTTCAACAACATCTATCCCTCCTTCAAGTTCACCTCCACCTCTTCCTAACCCACCAGCTAGCTCACCACCCCCACCTCTGTCTAATCCACCAGCTAGCTCACCAACCCCGCCTCTGTCTAATCCACCAAATAGCTCACCAGCCCCGCCTCCTTCTAATCCACCAGCTAGCTCACCACCTCCACCATCCAATACCCCTGCTAGTTCACCACCATCTTCATCAACTAATCCACCATTAAATTCGCCTCCACCGCTGTCATCTAGACCCTCTGCAAGTCCACCTGTGCCACCACCAAAGAATGATCCACCTCCAGGTCCTCCACCACCAACACAATCACCAGAAAGTACACCCCCATCTACATCTGGCCTTCCCCCTGTAAATTCACCACCCCCACTATCATACAAGCGGCCTGAAAATTCCCCTCTGCAACCAGCAGCCAAACCACCCCAGAAGTCTCCTCCACCTCCAGCATCTAGCTCTCCTGAAAGTTCACCCCCACAATCAGCATTAGTGCCACCCCCTAAATCTCCACCTCCATTTCTGACCCAGCCATCTCGTTCTCCTCCAGCATCTCCCCCATCTTCAAATTCTTCCCGAAGGTCACAACCACCACCTATAGTACTCACGTCACCACCACCTACTCCCTCTGTTGTGTCCTCACCAACAAACAACAACAATTCCAGCACTAACGCACCAGAAAGTTCCCAATCTGCAGGTGCTGGAGGCACTATAGCAATTGTTTCAGTACTTGTCTTTCTACTGCTAGCCATCTTTGCATCAATAGGGTGGTGCATATGGAAGAGAAAGAAAAAGGCTTCTGGACTTGTTGGCGGTTACATCATGCCAGCCTCTCTTGGTTCTTCTCCAAAATCAGGTAAATTTTCCAGTACTACTGTATTACATTCTCGTCAGGCCTTGATCTTTGCTTTTACATTTTTGCAAATTGTATAAGAATTTGAGTAATTTGTGTCCAGATTCCACCTTATTGAAAGTGCAAATATCAGCATCCATCAATGGAAATTGCTCTGGCAGTGGTTTTGAAAATTCACCACGTGAGCCTGGTGCCTTAGGCCATTCAAGGACATGGTTTACTTATGAAGAACTAGCTGAAGTCACTAATGGATTTTCAGTACAGAATCTCTTGGGTGAAGGTGGATTTGGTTCTGTGTACAAAGGATGTATGGCAGATGGTAGAGTGGTAGCAGTTAAGCAGTTAAAGATGGATGGCGGACAAGGGGAGCGAGAATTCAAATCTGAAGTCGAGATAATTACTCGCATACACCATCGCCATTTGGTTTCACTTGTTGGTTATTGCATTTCTGAGAACAGAAGGCTGCTCGTATATGATTATGTTCCAAATAATACTCTCTACTTCCATCTTCACGGTAAATTTTAGTGTTTACATGAATCGTGTGTTTGCAGTACAAAATTAATTAATACTGGCTGTTGTCCTTGTGTCTCATAGGTGAAGGTGGACCTGTTATGAATTGGGCTACACGTGTACGGATTGCTGTTGGTGTGGCTCGCGGAATTGCTTACCTTCATGAAGACTGTAAGCTACTTATATCCTTCTTTTCCAATTTTATTTTAAATTTTTAGAAGTTCTCTTCATAGCTCTATCTTCCAAAGAGAAATAAGTCTCTATCTATACTTTCTTCACCTTTTGGTGTTATTGTTAAATTTGGTTCTGGTTGTCCTCATCGTGATCGAGTATATATACAGTTACATATTCTAAGTCTCTATCTATATTTTCTTCACCTTTTGATGTTATTGTTAAATTTGGTTCTGGTTGTCCTCATCATGATCGAGTATATATACAGTTACATATTCTCGTTAATGGTCATGAAGGTGCAATGTTGATGACCCATGTGAAAGAAAAGATTTTTATTTCTTAACTAGAAGTACATTGTGAAAGAGTACTGATGGAATATGACATTTATGTCACCTTAATGCTCATCTTATCTCCCAGTTGAAAACCAAAGATGGAAGGAGAAATCTGGAGGGAAAAATCAATTGTCATACAAGTTTTAGCTGATCTTTATTGTATCTGGATTATGTCTTGAAAGCATACAAGTAGTGGATCTATTAGAAAAACCCTAGGGGTTTAATTGGTCAAGTCTCTCTCGCTCTCTTCTACTTGTTTACTAAAGAACTTGTGGGCAGTGTTAGAGAAAGTTGTCAATGTCACTGAGGAAGTCGGGAAGAGAGGTGACTGACATTCACTGAGTGATGCTGAAAGAAAAGAAAAGATGGATCGAGTTTTGTTTTGTTTTAGATTCAGTGGTTTATTCTGGCATTTTAACTTTTGAATAAATTATTATATTTTAATATCTTTATGTGTCATTGAAGAGAAAATATCGATTTGCTAATCTTTTAATGATCTTCATTGTATAATAGGCCATCCCCATATTATTCACAGAGATATCAAGTCATCAAACATCCTTCTAGATAACAACTTTGAAGCTCTGGTATAACCAACTCTTTGATATTTTTTCCCCTTTCGTTATTATCTTTCTGGATGTGCTTCTAAAGTAAAATTAACTACTTCACAGGTTTCTGATTTCGGACTTGCTAAATTAGCTATGGATACAAATACGCATGTTACTACACGGGTTATGGGAACCTTTGGGTAAGAGGCATTGTAGATCTGGTCTGGTGTCCAATGAAAGACTTGGAAGCACAAGAGATTACCTGGTTTACATCATATTCATTCTAATTATTCTTGTTGGTCAATTTCAGATACATGGCTCCTGAGTATGCATCAAGTGGCAAGTTGACAGAAAAGTCTGATGTGTTTTCCTATGGAGTTGTGCTTTTGGAGCTAATTACAGGTCGCAAGCCTGTGGATACAACTCAACCCCTAGGGGAGGAGAGTCTAGTAGAGTGGGTGAGTTATTATAATTCCACGACGTAATTACTACTTATATACCTTGGCATGCATGGAAAATTATTCATTTCTTCTATTTATCTGATTTGGCATTCTTGTATGGGTTTAGCGCAAGAATAATGGCTTGATCATGCTTCAATTTTCACTTAGATTTGTTTTTTGTCAAATGTCGAGTACCCAAAGCAATTCTGATCCTTGAAATGAAAGCTCCGACCTAGAAATCCTTCCCAAGAAAAGATTTTGAAGTTATATGAAAATCAAGGGTAAAATTCTCACCTGTATAATATATGCAAAAATGAAAATTATCCAAATTTATTAAATCCTTTGGAGAGTTCAGTTTGGATACTCTGGGATAGTTGTTAGATCACTGATAACTAGCTTAAGTGGAAGACCTTTTATCTTACGGAATCCAAAAGCTCGCTCCCGGTGCCATTATTGCAGCCACTAACTTGGGGGAAAAAGAGTTAGTTAATAAATGAAATGTGATACTGATTTATACCTAAGGCATGATGAACTTGCAGTGCGCCTCATGAGAGATTTATTTATCATTTTCCTACATAGGGTTTGCTCTACCAGGTTTTTCATGGAATTCCAGAGATGCTACAATATTTATTTCTACATAACATATACAAAAAAGTCTTGAAAGTACATTCTTTTGGCTGTCCCTCCTTTCTTCCTCCCTCTCTCATGATAAAGAATGAAATGGTTGAAATTGACATTTCTGCTCCAGATATCCACTATTCACATCTCACAAAAAAAACAGCAAGCTGTGAAATTTTGGATCAAATCTCCACTCTGTAGATACTATCATTGTTTAAATAACTTGCAATCTAGTTCCACTTCATTGGAGCTCTGTATCATGCTTTGGTAAAAAGACTTAAAAGACTCTTGTTAAAATGTATTCGTATTTATATTGTAATTACATCCTGCGCTCAAATCACGTGAAATATCAACCACACGTATGCATACTGCAATAGGTAGAACAAATACAAATTTGATATCGGGAAATTAAAGATTCTAATTTTCCTTAAACGATGTGTTTCTCCAGGCTCGACCTTTGCTTAGTCATGCACTTGAGACGGAGGAATTTGAGGGGTTGGCAGATTCAAGGCTTGAAGGAAATTTTGTTGGGAATGAAATGTTTCGAATGATTGAGGCTGCTGCAGTCTGTGTGCGCCATTCAGCCGCGAAGAGACCAAAAATGGGACAGGTAAGAACTCTCGTAGTCAGAGTTAAAATAAATTTCACGGTTAACTCTTTGGCTCTTTGTTGACTGGGTTCTTATTCAAAGGATGTTACGCTTTTCAGGTTGTGAGGGTGTTTGATAGTATGGCTACCCCGGACTTGACAAATGGAATGAAAGTGGGGGAAAGTGCAATATTTAACTCTGCACAACAATCTGCAGAGATTAGATTGTTTCAGAGGATGGCATTTGGTAATCAAAATTACAGTACAGATTTTTTCAGTCAGAATAACTGGAGTAGTGAAGGCCATCTGGCGAATGGTTGTTAAGATTGATGCATTTTAGTTCCAGACTTTTTTTGGTTTTTAATTCTTGGGTCATCTGAATATATTGATGTATATGCAAATGCAATGCCAACTCGACTGAAAGGTACCCTATTTGTCTAACTGTCTTTGCATCTGAAATAGACTTTAGACTTTCCTACTCCAGTCAGAGTTTTGTAGATAAAATTTATTGTAGCATATGTAAGCATTTATCTATTTGTTGCATCAATTTTTTTTCCCTGTAAGTAACATAAAATTTTTGTTCAGTAATTACCTTTATGAAGTTTGTAGCATTGATTCCTTTTATTGTCTGATGGAATAGCCTTGTATGGTAATGTATACCATTGAGTCTTATAGTTGTTTTGATGCATTTACAAGGCTAGTTTATCAAGGAAGGGAAAAAATTGTAACTATAGAATCCATTCATATACCTTCTAGATAAAAATCAGAGAAGCGAGATTGCATACCTAGAATCTTTGATGTCATTTGAAAGAACAAAAATGACAGTGGTCGAGCGAAGACCTTACAACCATATTCAAGTTCTAGATATGAGAAGATATGGAGAAGACAGCTTCAGAAGTCAAGGGAAGTCCTTCCGAATTAAAATCGAAAAAAACTCATTAGATAAATCATTTGTTTTCAACTGTTGTATGGATGAAATTGAGAATGTTTTGGAGGAATTTTCGAATAGGGGTGAGCTTTCTTTTGGAAGCGTTTGGGTTGGAGATATATCAAGGCTTCAATTATAAATGAAGAGGAACTGGATTATCATGTTGTTCAGTGTCACTTTATTGAAATATTTGGCTCCGTTAACTTGCCAATATCTTTTAATGAACTTTCAACATTTCACATATCTTTAGTGATGCAAGCAGTATATTCTTCCTTAAGCTGCTAGAGAGAGGATACTCCGTCGCGTATGGTCAAGATTATTCTTTCATTGAAGTCCCGATGCTGGCAAAATTACTAGAAATGAATGCAGGGCCTTTGCTCTTGTTGGTATCACGTGAACCACCAATTAATTAAACAAACGCTCTAAGCAATGTTTTAAAAAGCATAAAGTTTAGTTGGACGATAACGTCAAATTTCAAGTTTTTACGAGCCTAAACGGGGTTAGCTGAAGTCAAATTGAAGCCTACCAAGTTTCATGTTTAACTATTGATGGCAAATGAATAGAATTAAGCTGTACAAATATAAAAATTGATAGGTTGAAGGAATATTTGAAATATAAATTAATTATTGTGGTCTACTAAGTCATTTTAGAAGATTCATTTTCTCTATAGTTGTGATTTAACATATTAATATATTATTAATGGTCATGATATGTTCATTGACCCACCCTATATTGGAATCATTCCAGTGTTTAAATGCCAAGACTGATTAAAAATAAAGAATTCAATGAGAAAGAATTTACCAAGATTAGAATAAGTCATAGCTTACATGTATCAACAATTCAATTTCAATTACCACAAAACTTAATGGGAAAATTGTATTACTAGTCTCTGACTTATTACCCATGTGCGAATTTGATCTTCAAACTCTAGAAAATAGTAAATTAATCCACAACCTTTCTCTACAGTTGCAAAATCAGTTTCTAATTAATCCACAACCTTCCGCAATATTTGACAACCAATATTCAAAAACTCTTTTTTCTACATAATCACTTCCAACTACACATTTACACAATAAAATATATTTTGCACGTGAACCCGAAACTTTTTCCTATTTTTTAACGACGCGTTCTCCAAAAATTTACTATTCAAAACTTTATTTTCGCCAAATAGTGGCCATCAAACAGGGCATGACCCTCGAAAAAATGTCTCACTTCAAAATTTGTGGGCACTAGCTCAAGTTAGAAAGAAAAACATCATAAAATAAAACATATAGGGAATAACGGACTTTTTAATAAAATGTGGCTAACCGTAAAATATAATAAAAGATTGGCAATCAAATTGCTCCATTTAAAGATAGGTGATCAAGCTGTTACTAGGAGAATAGATCAGGGACCAACTGCGAATTATTCAACTTAATTTCTCGTTGACGTAACACGGTTTCTCCTTTGGACCATTCAATGTTAAAAAGAAGCACAACCCCACAATATAAAATGGACCAACACAAAGTTGAACAAAAAATACATTCATTTTTCTCTCTATTCTTCTATCCTTCTTTTGCACCAGAAGACATGATGGCCAAAATTCATTGTGATCAGCTTCAACAGCTCAAGGAGATATTTAATCAATTCGATATGGACCAGGATGGCAGCCTTACGCTGCTTGAGCTAGCAGCCCTCCTCCGATCCCTCGGCCTTAAACCGGGTGGTGATCAAGTCCATGTCCTATTGGCTAAAATGGATTCCAATGGTAATGGCTCCATAGAATTCAACGAATTGGTCGATGCCTTATTGCCTGACTTGAATGAGGAGGTTTTGCTCAACCAGGAGCAATTATTGGAGGTTTTTCGGTCTTTTGATCGCGATGGAAATGGCTATATAACCACAGCAGAGTTGGCCGGTTCAATGGCAAAAATGGGACGCCCCCTGACATATCGTGAGCTAACCGAGATGATGCAAGAAGCAGACATGAACGGCGATGGTGTCATAAGTTTCAATGAGTTTGCCAGCATCCTCGGAAAATCTGCTGGCGAATACCTTGGACTCACTGTGTCCTAACTCCACAAATTAGATGAGATAGCTAGATAGATACAAGGATCATTGACTTTGTTAATCGTATAATGCCATCAATTCTGATCGAATACTATGTTAAGAACATCTGTCAACTCGTTCCCATAGGAAATGGCTTTGGAATCTATCCAGAGATCCATGCCAAAAGCAACGTATAACGACATTATTGACGATATGACTCAGTCTAATTGAAACTTCTAATATATATAATATATTGTTGATTATTTCATAATTGAATCTTTTACTTGTTATTTGTGGAAACTTATGTACTGTTCTCTTTGTGTTTCAGTTTTGTGTTTTGAATTTTGAATTCATTTTAAATTTTGTGTTTTGAGTGTCCATTTTGATATTGTTGAAAATGTGCTATTTTTGACATTTTGAAAACATCCAAATCGCGTTTTGAAAATTTTGACTTAATTATAACTGAAAACACCGAATTTGTCGTTTTGGGTTTTCTTTGTAAATTTTTAACTTGTTTTCAAAAATGCATTTTCGAAAATAGGAAAGAGAGCACGTTTTCACTGTTTTGAAAAATCGAAAACAGAAAACAACTTGAAAATAATAAAGAAAATATTAATATTCTGATAATAAATTGTGGGCATGTGGTTGTTTAATACAAGATAAGGACATCTCTCACCTCTCGCTGATTAGATCTTGTTTTGCTGGTTGGAAAGATTCTTATATATTATCATTGTCTTTAGTTTTGAACGAGTCAGAGAATAAGGCCCTGTTCTCTTTGTCGTTTTCAACCCGTTTTCTATTTTCAATTTTTCAAAACAGTGAAAACGCGTTCTCTTACCTATTTTCGAAAACGTGTTTTTGAAAATGAAAAAAATATTTACACTAAAAACGGAAAATGGCTGAATCAACGTTTTGGAAAACGTAAGGCCGAAACACGGTAAAATTCTCAAAACACGGGAAAAGATTTCCGTCCCATTTTCCTATCTCTCCCTCCCTCTCTCCCCTCCCGAATCCGTTCTCTCTTTAATTCACAACCCAAATCGAAACATTTCTCTCCTATCGTGATCAGATCCTCTCGCAGAAATCCACAATCCAAATCAAGCAGAGCTCTTGCTGCCGAATCGAAGGGTTCAACTATGGGATTGAGCTCGTCTTGTCAAATCGAAGGCTTCTCTACGGGCTGCGGATAACAAGGTTTCGCATATGATAATCTTCCTTTCTTTGCTTGTGATAATATTTTGTTCTTTGCTTGATATTCTATATCAAATTTGTTGGGTTAAGTTTTGCCTCAGTTTTTTAATTTGTTGGTGTACAAACTGAGGTGATTGGAAAGTAGTGGTGTCGGTGAATTCGGAGGGGGAAGGGTAGATGGTGGTGGAGGCGGAGGCGGAGGCGGAATTGCAGGTTATGTGTGGGCGTTGTTCTTTGGCTGTTCTTGTTGTTTGGGGGTCCTTCAGTGGTGGAGGTGGAAATGATTTTTCAACATTTTATTTCCCTAATTTTGGAAGAAAACTGTAAATCAAACATCAAAAATCCTCAACATCCATCATGTATAATAACCAGAAAGTTACAGGATGGACATTGAAGTTTCGGAAACCGGCTCTCATCCATCTTGAACAATTACAGCTTTATGAAAATCCTCGACTCATCTTGTTTGACAAAACTTCCCAGTTTTCTAATTGGTTTTCTTTTCTTGTTATAGCTAAAATCTGATCGATGTCCTCCCACTGTAAATAAATCACTAATTAAGATTCTTGGCTATTCTTGCTGTTTGAAAGTCTCTGTTTGGTGGTGGAGGCAGAATTGCGGTTGTGTTCTTGATGTTAAATGGACAGGTAGAATGTAGGAGTTTTAAAATTTTGGGGGAAATTATGAAGATCTGTTCAATTTTTACATCTTAACCGATTCTCCTCCTCATTTTCAATTTATTCCCCCTGTAAATTTGTTCCAAAGTAATCGCAGATATAACCGCATCATTATTTCTTGAATTAGGTAACTTCTTCCTCACGATGTATCAGTTTTACAATGTCACGTTTTTTGTATTATATCAGTTTGATTTTGTCCTGGGATCTTAACGTGTTGAGTAATAAATATATTTTCTAGGGACTGGTTCTTTCTTCTGTTTAGTTTGATTTTGTATTATTTGTTTAGTTTTATGCACGCAAACATTTTGATGAACTACGTGTTTAGTAACATGGTGTATCTTATCGGTGGGTGCTTTATGTGGTTGTCTAATTAATAGTCTTATATTTGGGTGACTTGCTATCAGTTATGGTATATGCAGATGGCCTAGAACATTATTGGGAACTAGCTTGTTGGTTATGTATGCAAAATGTGGCTGCATTGGCCATTGAGGTTGCTGTGGAGGTTTTCAAGTCGCGTGACAAAAATAATGTGTCTTTATGACTTTATGGAATGCAATGCTTATTGAATGGTCCTTGGAATGTTAATAATGCGATTGAGTTGGAATATTGCTTTGTTTCCTTGATGATGTCTTGATTTCTATCTTCTTGGATAAACTTGAGATTTGTAGTTGAGAATGTTTCTATGTGACTCCAATAAATGAATTTAAAATTTCAGAAGTAATTTTGTGATATTGATGATGTTACTTTTTGTGACAGGACCTGGTTTTCTTCTCCATGGCAAATTCCAAGTGAACTCCTCAATGAGCCGGAAACTTCAAGCCAATTTAAGTCTTCGTGATGATTCTGGTATATTGTTTTTGTAATGGAACGGATTTATTTGATTTAGCACGCTTTCATTTGAAGTTGAATCTATAATGGTATTGAAGAAGACCTATAAAGATTCGTTTTTGAGGAACATTGAATTTCTCCATGTGGAATGTCCATTTTTTCTTTTTTCTTTCTTTATTTTTTTCTTCATTAGTAAGATGAATTAGTATAAGCAAATGAGTACTTTCTAAGAGATTAATGTTGTTAACATTTACAAATTATGTAGTTGGAAGTGAAACAAGGACCCCTACTATGAGTTTATCTCAATTTTGGCAGTAGCTTTTCAGTTTGTGGTAAGTTTATTACAATTGGGATATTGTATTACTTTTGAAATAGCATGAGTGATGAGTCTGTTACTTTCAAAGTTTAATGTTATCAATATTTAATACTTGGCATCAAAACCCGTTCATGTATTCCCTAGTTAACCAGTCTTATCACCCCACTGTTGTTCGTCTATAAACTTAGTAGTTGCGAGTGCAGGCAAGGTTTGTCTAGTATATTAGCTAGTTTGTGCATCCGAGTTGACATTTTTACTTCTATGATCGTGTTGTAATATGTCATTTATATAGCTGTCGATGCATTGTCGTTTCTGTTCGGGTATTTATTCAACGTCTTCTAATCTTTTCGTCGATTCTTGGTTATTCAATATATCTGAATTCGTCATTTGGTGTTTACATTGCACGTTCTAGACAAAGTGAAACGTTTTATGTTCGTTGTTAACTTGCTACAACCCTAGTCCTGTAATCTTGTTTAGTTAATGATCTTTGCCCCCTGAAGTTCGATTAATTTTCTTCGATCAGATTGGGATTGAAGATCAAGACTTCAAATTGAGACAAGATAAGGGATATATTATTTTTTAACGTAAAAATGTAGTTAAATTGTGTAAAATACTCTTGAAAATTAGCTATCACGGAAAATATTTTCATAATGAGCATCAAATATTGTCGACACGTGTAAAATACTATGTAATAGAATAGACGGATATGATGAAAATTACATTACGAAATTTGTATCACAAAAATAATAAATTTTAATGAAATAATTAAATTTTTTAAAAATGCGAGTTTGACGTCTTTTTTTAAGATTCACGTTTAAAACATGAAAACATGGTTCTGATTGCTGCATTATTACACGTAGATATTGCAAACATGGATGTCAATGAAATATATGGATAATTTATACCTTGTCCTCTTGAAGGATGCCATTCTTTTTATTAATGATAAATTACTTTTTTTGATTAAAAAAGATTAAGATGGACAAGAGAATATAAATATGAATAAAATAACATTGGTAGCGATAGAAGTGCGCTTGACCCAATCATGACGAAGTTCTGTTCATGTGCGTCACTGTATTTCATGTACGTCATTGTAATTATTGTCACAAGTTACGTACAATGACAAAAATAAGAATTTGTCCAATTTAATTTAATGTATTTTTTATATCTGGAAACAAATATTTTAAGATTCACCAATTGACAATTTTATATGTTATTTAATATTATATTAATATTAAACTATTAAAATTTATTGAATAATCATATTTATTGAATAAAATATTATTACAAAAATATTCTCAAAATTTCAAAGTAAACGCGTTTTCCATTTTCATGTTTCTNTATATATTATCATTGTCTTTAGTTTGAACGAGTCAGAGAATAAGAGTTTTCAGAAATAATCCATATCGAAATATGGAAAAAAAAAAAAAAAATCTGTGAAAATAATACTTCCTTCGAAATATTGCTTTTTCACCAACAAACAAAAAGTGCTGGCATGTTTGGCCCCCACTTTAAAGCAGCTAAAAAGTTGGGTTTTCGATAGCATGTAAATTGCTAATAGGTTTGGTTCTGCTTAAAAACCGCTAAAAAGTGACTCATGGCCGAGCATACTTAAAAAGAATAAAACCAGCAAAATGACTTGTTTCCATTGCTTTCTTTAACCGTTGGCCTAAACAAGGACATTGTGCTTAAGAATCAAGGCAACTACAACAGCAAAAAATACATTATAGAAATCTAGGATAAATAGAAAAATCCATGATGTTAAATTTTTCTCTACATCATGAAAATATCTGATTGTACAAGATACAAAATTGAAAGAATAAACATGGATACTGCACTTGTACCCTAAGGACAACATTTGCAAAGTAATGGAGCCTTTTCCGCTGGTACGATATGTGGTACATCTGAATTTATACATTTGTACAGACCTTGTGTTCATCTAGGCATATACTCTTGCATAGAACCAGCCCCCAAAATCAATTACAACGGGAAGAGTTCTAAGTCTAGAAACAAAGGGAAATACATAATCTTTATCTGTGATCCAGATTTCGATCATTTGATGGATTTGTTCGTGCTGATGAATTCAATGGATTTGTCCGTGCCAATGAACGAGCAGTAAATCCCACAGTTATGGGTCGTATAGATCTTTGCCTCACCACATAGCAGTATTCAGGGTCATCTGCCCGACCCTCATATCTTATCCACTGTATCATCCCGTGGTACATTGGGAAGAATCTCATCTGAATTGCGTTGACTACAAAATACGGTATCAGGGTCGAGATAACCACAAAGAGTGTGACTATATAGAAAGAAGGTGTCGGGGCTAGAGATTCAACGAAGACTTTGTATGCAGTTGTGGAAATGCTTGGAGGCATAGCCCCGTAGGCTAAGAGGAAAAGATACCAAAGAGCAATTCCACCCCAGATAACGATATGCTGGATTAAGGTGAAGTAACTGATGGCGAGCGCCATCTGGCAGTTTACAACCCAGACGACACAGGTGTACATGGTAGCCCCAAAAATTTGGAACTCTGCAATTCTTCCATCCTTATTGAAGGCCTGCGGATTTAGTGCTCTTTTGCAGAAGAAAAAGATGATTATGGCACTACAAAGCCCATTAATCATCCATCCAATTAAACGCCGCCAGCTGAACAGGACATTTTGCACACCTTCTTGGTACAACAAGGGAAACTGTCACATGAAAACGAACAAAGAGTGAGGAAAAGGAAAGCATTCTTTTAAGTTGGGGGGCACATCAACACAGTAATAAATTCAGCTAGTTATTTAGAATTTTTATTAGATGAAAATCCTGCAATAAGCAACAGGCCGGAAAAAACATCATATCTTGTTTTGAACTTGTTCCGGATTGCCAATTTACTGACTAATAGAATACCTTTAGACAAAATCTGGCAGACACATCCTGGTCAAAAACCCCCATAGCAATTACTGGTAGTGATGTGAAGAACACGTTGTAAAGGGACAAAAACCAGTCATTGTAAGCAGGTTGTCCCGAGAATGATGAATATGCCTCGTACAGAAAAACCGTGAAACCAAATGTGACATTCTTGTAGAAGAAGTAACATATCTGCACAAAAAGGTATACAGAATCAATATACGCGCTATGATGGCCATTGTAATTGGATGAACTTTTAAATCATAAACATTTTATTGGTGTTCACAGTGAAAGATGGAGGAATCCAAGTTTCAAACAATTCTTGTAATTTTAAGATTGTTATTTAATTATGATAAAACATTTTTTTTTTAAACGGGACCTAAATGTCTGATAAAATCAATGACGAAGTGATTTACCATTGACGATATCCTTCTATAACACCAATGTCCATGAACCAACAGTAAGCGCTCCAAAAATCTGAACTGAGCAATTGCAATATCACTCGACATGACTGCCTGATACGTGCACAGGAACAATAAAAAAGTGAGGCAAACCGTAGTAAATAGAATAAGTTTTCTGATAAATAAACAGTACATAAGTAGCTTTTTACCTGCATTCCCTCGACACCACTTATTCCAATTCCAATGTCTGCTTCTTGAAGCATTCCTACATCATTCGCTCCATCACCAATTGCCAAAGTTGTCTTCTGAGTTCCTTCTTTAACTAGTCTTGTTACCTGTAGGATTGAAAACAATTTTAATAATTGAATAGAAATTTCAAAATATGAAAAAGAGATTTTAATATAGAAAGTTATACATATGATACAAGTCCAACACACAGACTCATCGGGAGTTAATAGGATATAAACTCACCAATGCCTTCTGTTTTGGTGATGAACGGCAGCATATTACAGATGCACAGCCAATGGCTAGTTCAAGAAATAAATTTTTGATGTCTTCTTCTAACGCATATGCAAGAGATTTCCCATCAATGATCAAGGCAAATGCCTCAGAGCTTTCTGTAGAAACCTCAGCCTTCCCTTCAGTGATCTGCCGGAGAACACATTTCTTCAAAGCCTAATGAAGAACGAAAATACAGAATCTTTCAACTCAAATTATTCAACAATCATGGATGATGGAAAGAATTACAGTTTTAGCGCAATCAGAGAGTGATACAAGCAGTTGTTCATATATCGTAACAAGGTTCTTAGTAGATAGGCAGTTCTCACTTTTGTCATTGAAATTGAAATTTTAAAACATGGGACATGGATTTACCTTGGCAATTGCATCTTTTTCTCCCGTTTTCTCCAGTGCAATTATCTCTGGGGTCTCTAAGTTTATGATAATCTGTTTCATTCCTTGTCTGAGTAAGCTACAGGCATAGCTGCAGAATTGATTTTTACTGTCAGGAATATCAGGAAAACCAATGTAGCTTCAAATTAGCTGATATTAGAAATTGTACAAAGAGCATACCCAATATTAATAGCGGTTTCCATCTTATCTCCAGTCAAAACCCATATTTTAATTCCTGCCTGTGCAAGCTTGTCAATGCATTCAGGAACCTGCCAGGAACAACATTAGACAAACAAAATCAGTGTCTGTCTTGCAATTTAACAAGAATGGTGTGTGATTCTTCTGCACGAAAATCATAAAGTAAAAACCCACCCCCTGTTGGAGTTTGTCCTCAACAGCTGTCGCACCAAGAAGAATCAAATCTTTTTCCACTTCTTCTGTCGTTTCATCAATCAACGCCTCACGATCTGCACTAACAGAGTTTTTGGCCTCTGAAAATTTTTGATTGAATACCTCATATTCTTCTTCACTAAGTTCCCGATAAGCAAGTATCAAGGTCCTCAAGCCTGCATCAGCATACTGAAGTATATGTTCTCTGGTTTCCACTTCATATTCCCTTCCATTCTTTGAAAGCCTCTCAAACATGACACTACAATAAGGCAAAAAACAGAGCAGTGTAGGAAGAGGGTTAAAGGCAGATCAGAAATAAATGCTTAGGAATCAACTGAAATCCGAGACAATGAACTGATAAAAGATGTGAATGGTAATTCAGTAAGTTGCACACAAACCAACCTGTCAGCACCTTTGCTAAGCAATAAAAGCTTTCCATCCTCATCTCTTACTATCACAGACATTCGCTTTCTTGTACTGTTGAACTCTAAAACATTCAACAGTTTGTACGTCCTGCATCAGCAAAAATTACTTTACTATATGGTCCAATGTTGCTAGATCAATATATGTCTAAAAATAATATATATTGTGAACCCAAATGTGAGACTGAGAGTCCTACTGTCAATGAAGCGTGTGTTACACAAAGTATATGTTATGCTTATTCCAAAGGAAATTTTTTCAATCATTTGCATGCTTGTGATAAGAAAGCTGAAGTTACTGTTGGTGGGTATTATAAAAGACAACATCAGCTCAAGAAAATTATACTCTAGCTTCTGTGAATTTCCAGATGATCGGTTATTCATAGGTATTGTAACAAGGTGCAAGGAAGGGTGAGTTTTTCACGTATGCAAGAAGCAACATCTGTGTAAAGATGCTTATCCAAGTAACAGAAATTACAGAAAATAAAATGCACAGACGTGCAAGATGCTGACCTTTCAACTCTTTTGCCTGACATAGGATCCAATTCATTCACTGAAACACTTGTTTGAGTTCTTTTGAAGAATTCAAAGCCAACTTCTCTTGCTGCAATAACAAAAGCAGCCTCATCGGGTGACTCAGCTTCATATATGACTTTACTCGTGTCTTCATCCACATCAGGTATGGCTGTATGACAGACTGCCAGTAAGCGAAAGAACTTCTGAATGATGTCTGAACGGGGCTCATTTACCCAGTTCCCATTCATGATCCTTTCATCATCAAAATTGAAACCTTTGATCGATGACTTTTTATTTTTATCATCTGGATCCTCAACATATTCTTCTCCATTTACCAACAGTGGAGACCCTGTTCTTTTAGCCATAGCCCTTTCAACTTCTGTGAAACCATATCCATAAGGAATGCCAGCCACAGAGCACTTAATAAACTCCATTGAGTTGCAAGTCAATGTGCCCGTTTTGTCAGAAAGAACCGTATCAACTTGGCCAAGTTCCTCATTCAAATTCGAGGTGCGGGCATGTGCGGGTTTGTCAGTTTCCTCATAGTACATATGAACATCTTGATTGATAAAGATGCTCTGAAGAACTTTAACAATTTCTATTGATACATACAAAGATATTGGAATCAAGTAGCTGTATAGCAACAAGGCTGTCAGAAAGTGATATATTGCTGCAATTGGCGCTCGATCTGGATCAAAGAATATATCAGCCTCTTCCGGTCTAAGATACCACCTTTTATGTCCACCTTCTAAGTCATCTTTGGTTACAATACCAAAGTAAACTGATCCAACGAAAGCCATCACGAACAGAACACCAAATAAGAAGTAGATAATCTTATCCATTTTCTTCTCAATTTTGCTTCTCTTGGACGGAGGATCTGTAGAATTCTGAATAACCTTCGTGTCATGACCTGTGAAGATAACAACTCCATATATGTAGCCCGTGTTCCGCAGTTTAGAGTCTCGAAGTAGCAGTTGTTGAGGAGAAAGAGAATGTTGCTGTTCTTCGAGTTCCATACTTCCAACAAAACTGTACAAATTGGCATTAGGATCTTCACATTTAATAATAGCCTGAAAATCTTTAAGACCCTCATCTTCGTTTAAGGATGAAGTTACTTCTAGTGCTTGTTTGAGTTTCAAATTCGTTTCCCCATCAAGGTTCATCGTCTCAACATAGCAGACAGCATCTTCATAATTAGATGAAAGCAAAACTAAATCTGCCGGAAAAAATTCATCCTTCTCCACCTTAACAATGCTACCGACTCTTAGATTTTTCCATTCAGTATGTTCGAAAACTCCACCACCCTGATGCACCTTGACCTTTCTATTATTCACCTCAATATCCTGAAATATTCCATAGGCATCATTATCAAACTAAAAGTAACAATTGGCTAAAAGAGCATATACACTAGCAGTTTTGTTAGTAAATAAAATTTTATAATATCTCACAATAGGCGAGATGATATGGCAGATTTACACTATTGAAATTGGATACAATACTAAAAACCCCAAATCCTTTCAAAACTGAAATGCTTTTTGGAAGAATATAAAAATTGAAGGCATAGTGTTATCATAAGAACAGATAAATTCCTTAAGTTGCTGCTGAGAAGATAGAGTTGTTTAAGTTCTCAAAACCCTTTCTTTGAATCGAATAAGTTTCGAAAAGAAAAACCTTCACAAGCCATCTAATCATTTGGTTTTTCTGAATAATCTGAACACTCCAAAACTGTTCAACAAGTCCCAAATTACTTCCACAAATTACAAAATCAAAAAGAACAAATTAAAAAATCAAAAGAGCTCTAACATATGCTGTAAAGGGTAACTCGGTAATTATAACATAAACAAAGAAATAACAAGATCAGCATCAAATACCTGTTGATTTCGCCGCCAATCTTCTATACCTTCTTTCACCATAGTAGCCCCAATAACAATAATTAGAGGAATAATGGCACTTACAGCAGAATAAGGTGCAAGTGATGTGAAGGATAAGATGCCAGTTACAAGGAAGAAAAAATTAGCCACTCTCCTAAACTGCTCAAACAGAGATTTGGGCAGGAAAGTTGCAGCAGTATACTTAGTTGTCCTAACATAATTATTTGCATAATACCTAAGACTTGACTCCACTCGATCTGGTTCATTAACATACACTACTCTTGAGAAACCTGGTCCACCAATTCTTGTATGATCATCTTTTAATGTTCCTTTCCCACGTTTGAATGAGTAGATCTTGCTGATATGCAGTCTCTTTTTTCCACAAGTTTTCATTTCTCTTCAAACTTGCAACAATAAGGGCAAAAATCTTGGCCTTTTTAATTACAATAATAAACTCTGACAACTGCAACTTCTTCAAGAACCCAAAAATTCCACAAAAACTAAATTTCTCTCCACAAACCAAACATTAACCAATATTTTGCAGGGAACAGAAGAAACCCAGTTGTCAAAGGAAAGAGGAAGAAACTCAGAGAATGGAAGAATGACTTTAAGGGTATGTGAAAACGAAAGGTTTAAACAAAAGAAGAAAGTTACCCACAATCCAGCTGGTTTAGTACAACCCAGTACCTCAAGAAACACAGTGGCCCAGAGACAAAAGACTGGTAAACACCTAAAAATTTAGCTGAAGAACAAATTATTCTATAAATATGAGAATATGCATAAATAAGATGTGGAGAAGGAGGATGGGAAATGTATGAAGCATTATTCAAATATTTGGTTTTTCTCATGGAACCAAAGCTTTGAACATTGACTTGGATCTCTCTCCCTCTCTCTCAATGTTTGACTTTCGTAATTATTGGATTTGCGGTTTTGTACAGGATCGTTGGTTCGAAGAAACTTTCAGACCCAACTACTATTCATAAAATAAACCGCCAACCCCCTTCAATAATTTTCAATTTTAATTTCTAATACATATCTATCAATAATAATGAAAATTTCAGTGGGATCGTGAGTGGGTGTGGGGGAGGAGAAAACAGTCCAAGAAAAGAAAAAGATAAAACAGCGTTTTTTGAAGCTTCAATCAATTCACACTCAATTCCGCGGGAAATGTTTTCCCCTAGAAAATGTTTCTGGGTCTTTTCTTATTTTCTTTAAGCAATTAAAGCTTCAAGAAGAACAGACAAAGTCTGAACACTGATTTACATTTCCTTGTTTTTTTTTTTTTCCATGTTTAGATTTCTATAGAAATTGTGAAAATGTGTGTGTGTGAATTTATTTATTTATTTTCACTAATTTGTGTAATTAGTTTTGCTAATAAAATTATTTAAGATTTTAATATGAGAGATTTGTTGTAACGAACTTTGAAACTTACTTGTTTTGCACATTTATAATGGTGACACATTAATCGCTTACATTAGCATCAATCTAGATGGTGACACATGCTATGTCAACTTGAATGAATCTCACAATAATTAAATTAGACTTGTCATTGAATGTCATCTACATGCCACGTGGACTTGTATTCCAGTACCATTGATTTTAGATAGCATTATTTTTTTTTACAGCCCATGTTTTAATTTAAATTAAAGTCAACAACTAATTTTAATCAAACATTTTATGAAAAACATAACTTTTAAATCACATTTCATTGGCTTTTATCAAAATTTATTAAAATTTTGATTTTTATCCCCTCCAAACAGGGATATAATATGTTCATAACTGGCAAAACGACTATATTTTACATATTTGGTACACAAATTATACTCAATTATCCATCATTTATTTATATTTATTTATAATTTAACCGTTATAAACTACCCCAAACTTGTAATCCTGCGTCTAACGAATATGTATGGTCTATCATGCCCATGTTGCTAGAAAGTTTTTACAAACCTTCTTTATAACGTCCATGAAGAGTTAAAAATAAGCGTTGAATAGTAAGAAATCATCGTCAAGTACTTTGTTTTGAAATAAACGTGGACTTCGAACGAAAAGAGAAATCATAGAATATTAAAGTCCTGTTTCATGGTAATTATTTTGGAAAAATGGAGTTTTGAATAGTGATTTTTTTAAAAAATACGTGGTTAAAAGATAGGAAAAGATTTTGAACTTACGTGTAAAATATTTTATATTATTATATCAGTATGTGGTTGAAAATTAACTAATTTTGAATTATTTTTACTACATTTTGGGGGAGGCTTCTAGAAACATCAAAATATTCATGTTCTCCGACTTTTCTCTCAACTTTCTATCCACACGTATTAATGATGTTATCCGATATTATCATATTAAATTCAACTAATTCGTATTTAATAATAAGAAAAATTAAGTTATCTAAATATATTATATTAAGACTAATAAGTCAATTGAAATAATTTTATTATTTTCAAACTTAGCCCGATGTGCTCTTGCATTTTTACGAATTATTATTTAATAAAAAAACAAGTTTAAAAGTTAATTATGATAATTAATAAACAATTTAAACTTGACTATATCGATAATCAGTTGACTAAAAATAAAACTAAGCCTGCTAGTCTCGATTTTTAATCCTAACCGCGGTCTAACGTTCATTCTTGTAATAAATTCATTATAAAAAAAAAAATTTAATAATTATGGAGAATATTTGAGTAGCTTCATTTAGAATAACACCTAGGTACGTTATATTTTAATTATTTATACTTGAAATAATTATTAATTAAATATTTGAAACTCTAAAATGTGATAAATACAGCTTAATCTTGTAAAAACTTAATTACTACCATGGAGAGAATGAAATAAAAATTAGTAATGAACAATCAATTATGTAGGATTTGTTCTACTCGGACGATCACATTTGCCACGTAATTATGTGACATATTGACGATAGCACCTCGAGTGACCACAATTACTAGAGCAAACCGTCGATAAAGAGTTTCGACAATGAAATAAATTGTCGATGATTGTTGAGGATAATAATAACCATTAATGCATATATCACAAGTTTATTACGTGTTTTAAATTGAAATGTACAATATTAAGTGCTTGTTTGGAAGAGATTTTTAGGTGAATAATTGATTTTAAATAGTGATATGATGGGAAATGTGTGGTTGAAAAAGAAGAAAAAATTATTGATATGATGGAAAATATTATTTTATTGAAGAATGTGTGGTTGAAAATGAGAATTGATTTACTGTAGAAAAATTTAAT